CTCCCAGCCAATGGGGGCTGGAGCTATCCCGTTAGCGCCGGATCCCAGCGGGTAGGGCGGGGCGGGCGGCGCCGTGGGGATCCCGGGGCAGCCGAGGGCCCCGACTCTGGTGGGCGAGGCAACATGGATCGGATGGCCAGCTCCATGAAGCAGGTGCCCAATCCACTGCCCAAGGTGCTGAGCCGGCGCGCGGTCGGCGCGGGGGTGGAGGCTGCCGAGCGGGAGAGCTTCGAGCGGACTCAGGTGAGGACCGGGGGACCCCTTGGCGTGTGTGGCTGGGGCATCCCGAGAGACGCAGTGTCCAGGAGGAGCAGGCAGGGGAGGAGGAGTCTTGCAGACCCTGGGAAGGGTCAGGCCAGGCGCCAGCGAGAAAGGGTATCTGATGCGCTTTTCTGGGCGGTCCCGGGAAGGTCGGGGAACCCAGGCATCCTTGCCAGCCCGGGGGAAAGGGCAGGGTGGCTTCGAGCAGCTGGCAAGATCTGTGCGGCGCGGCAGAGGGGAGCTGGGCAGAGGGGAGCTGGTCCGGGCGAAAGCTGGGCTAGGGTCAGGGGAGGCCAGAGGGAAAGCAACCGCAAAGGGGACGAATGGAGGCCGGGAAAGCGCTTTGGCCGGACACTTGAGCGCATTGGCTGGGCACTTGGAGACGAAAGTGCGGGGGCGGTAAGTGGGGTGCTGAATTTGGGATGTGAAGAGCGGGGGACCCTTTCCTCCTTTGGAGATGGCTTCCCGGCTGCATTGACAATCCCCCTTGTCTCCCCCCCCATCCCCAACACCCTTTTCCTGGTGCCTCTTGCTTGGCTCACAGTACCCCCAGCTGTCGGCCCCTCTGAGGCCCAGCCGGCAGCCCCAAGAGGTCTGAGCTGTGAGAAGGAATGTAGGAAATGCAAAGTGTGACGAGCTTGGAAAATGACTGGGAGTGTGGGGGGTGCTGGAAGAGGGGTACGGCCAAGGGCAGGACTTGAGACTCCTGGCCGGATAGCCCAACTGCTGATCTGGACAAGCTGCCCAGTGGTTGGTGCCCAGACCCTGACTTGGGGTTTGGTTTCCACCCCCAAGATGTGCCTGACAGCTACCAAGCAAGCAGCCTGCCCTATTTGTGCAGTCTGACCAGGGCTGGGGGCCAAAATTCCTCAGTGTCATCAACAAAAAGCCACAATCCATTTTTACCTCAAGAATCTTAATGCCTGCTGTATTGATTTGACTGAATAAAGCTGACATGTTTATGGTGTTCATCAGCTCGTTCGTATGCAAAATCCATTTCAAAGGACGCAGCACTTCTTTTAATCCTAGTGCCAAAGTTGTAAGGGCAGATTTGTTCTTCACTCCTATTCTCAGAGTGGAGCCTTTGAAGACCCAGCAGGGTCCCCCTGCCAGAGTCTGGTCACCCTGCTGTGTTCTGCCACGTCCCCCAAAGCAGTATCATGTGAGGGGAGAGCTTGGGGTTTTAGAAAGAAAAGCCTGTGAGGACCTGACTCTGTGTTCACAATTTGGAATCTTGCACAGAAGCAAGTTTTTCACCACCCCCCGGACTTCATCCTCCTCTTTCCTGGCCTGTGGCAGGTGTGTCTGTGAGATGTGAGTAGGGAGGTCCCTCCTGCATCATCCTGCCCCAGGCAGGATGGAGGAGATGCCACCTCTCCCCCATAAGGTCCAGGTGGTTTGAGGCTTACCCTCTGGCTTTGTGGACAGGGTGGCTGAAAAGGAGGAAACTTTCTGTCCATCTGCCCTGGATGGTATTCCCCAACTAGCTGCCTAATCACACGCGGCTCCTTACTATACAAAACAGTCTGAATTTCCTTCTTTTCCAATGGGAAAGGAAAATATATTGGTGTTATTTTCTGGGAACCCATTCCAGCTAGTCTCAAATAAATGAAAACTGGAGCAAAAAAGAAATGTGCCTAAGACTGACCCATTAGAGTGATAGAAATTAGGTTTGTGAAAGTTTCCACCATGTCTGACTCCGCTAGTTATCCAGGGACAGCCCAAAAAGGACAGTCTAGGTCAGAGTTTTCCAGTATTTTACATTCTGTGAAACATTTGTAGTCGACTAAATTTTAACTGGTGGCTGTTATGGGCATGAGAAGGGAGTGAAGAGGAGTGGACCAGAGCGGGAAAAGCGTTTTCCTGTTGTTCACACTATCAGGGTGCTAGGAGGTGAAGAAAAAGAGAAAGGAACAATCCTACAACTTAGCATTAGTCAGTCTCTGAAAAGTTATTTCCTTTAAGGACTGTCTGTCAAGTGTATTAGGATATATAAAAGTCAGTTAGGAAAAAAGTTTTGAGTTAAATGACCATGAGAACCAGCCAAGGTAATAATAACTATAACTAGTTACTGTGTTTGACATTGTTCTCAGTACTTTAATGTATTACCTTTCTTAATCTTGAGAGACCTGTGAGGTGAATATTAGTCACAGTTTACCTTGAGGAAATTGAGACACAGAGAAGTTAAGTAAACTGCCCAGGGACACATAGCTGGTCCTAACTTTAAGCCTTGAATTGCCTCTGAGTTTTGGAAAAGAGGTTTGAGTTTTATATCCAGGTACATGGACAGGCTGTGTGACTTCTGGTAAATTGACTTTTCTAAGCCTTGGGTTCCTTTTTGTAAAATAAAGATAATCTATCACAGGTTTATTGTGAAGTTTAAATTGAATAATATGCATGAAGGAACTTTATAAACAGTGGAACACTATTTTCAGTGATTGTTGCTATAATCGGACTAGGGAGACAGACAGAAGAAAGCAGAAGCGTAGTGGTGCATGCTGTGATTAACTCTTCAGTAGGGGAACAGAAGAGTAACTCGGTAATATGATAATCACCAGGAGCTCCTGCCAAAGTACAGGCTGTGGGAACAGAAAGAGGTTGGGACCCTCACCGACGATGGAACCACCCTTCAGCTTGAGTTAGTACTTGCCGGGTAGAAGAGAGGGGAGGGGGCATTCCAGGAATGGGGAATGGCACCAGGAAGAAATGTCCAGAGACGGGTGAGGATGAGACATCCTGGTGGAGGTGGTGACAGGAGCAGAATCGGCCCCTCGCCCCTTAAGGCCTCTGCTAGTGCTTCCCCCTTGCCCGGTGAGGGCGCTCCCGCAGGGCGCCCTGGCCTGCTGCTGCGTAGGTACGCCAGCTCTGGGCTAGAAGGGACACCTGTAAATGATATTTTTCCTAATTGCCTTAAGTTTGCTCCTGGTCTGGCCTCTGTTGGGAGCCCTGGTGCAGGTCCGTAAGTGGGCCCTGATCTGCCTGCCTCCCTCCCGGCCCGGGAGCATTTAGCTGCCTGTGTCCTCAGACCGGCCTTGTCTTTGCTCCCCTGCCCGCCTCTTCCTGGAAGCCTTCCCTCCTCAGCTCCCTTGGCACCCTGGCACTTTATCTGGCTCTTTCCCAGGGCCTACCTGTCACCATGCCCATCTCTTTTGATGCATCCTCCATCACAGACCACTTTCAGGCTTTAGGGGAATGAAAAGCAGGTCTTGCTCTCAAAACCCCTGCTCAGATGGTGACACCTTGCCCTGGAGCACTTTAGAGCTTACAAAGCATGTGGTGCCATCCTTGGGCGACACGGGGGCCAGATCCTCTTGTCCTCACTATACGGATATGAGCTTGGTAACTTGTCCACAGTCACCAGTCGGTCAGTGAAAGGTCAGGGTTCAAACCCAGGACTCTAAGCTGCAACTCTCAGGCCTCTTCTACCACACTGACCTCACACTGCGTGATTCTAGAATGACCCAGAAGGGCTCCTGCTCCAAACAGATAAAATACCCTGTCTGTATTTACTTAGCTGGGAAATGGTTTTCTTTTTTAAATAATAGTTTATCTTTACATCATTTTGTGCATTTTCCATCTCAGTTGTAATCCCTGTGGGCTTCCCATCACCAAATCACCCGTGTGCCCTCACCAGGAAATGGTTTTCTTTAAGGCTTGTTTCTTTTCCTGACCTGTGGTTAGTGAGCACAGACCATGGAGGGGACACAGAGATGAGTAAGGTAGAGACTTGGGTTCTAGAGAGGAAGAGACAGAAACAGACAGTGCATGAGGGTCTTCTGGACACTGACAACACGGTGAGGAAACATTGAAACCAGGGCTTCCAGATCAGCTGGCCGAGTCCTCCTCTCCATATTTAAGTGGGGAGGGTGCTTCTCCCATCTTGCTCAGATCTTGCACATGCTCAGCCTTGGATTTGCCAGCTGGAAGATTTGGGGGTTGCATTAAAAAGCCACACAGTCGTGGCCGCCCAGGATGGCTTCTGACCAGCGGTGTCCTCCTGCCTTTCCTTGCGGCCTTCGTTGGTGCTCACCCCTTAGGCGGTGCTCGGCACTTTCTCTGCCGTCAGGTTCTTCTCTTCTGGTGTCCTCTCACCTTGCTCACGACAAGAGCCAGCTGTAAGTGTACTTTCCACATGGCGGTATGGTCTTCCCGGGCCACGCCTTTCAGTTCTAGCCACAAATTTCAGAATTCTAAGCTCTGTTTCACAGATGAGGTAGAAATGAGTGAGGTTAATCTTATCTCAAGGTTCTGGAGTGACAGCAGGGACTTCAGCCTGGGGAACTGCCCGCAGAGCCGGGCTTTCTACACTTGCCATCCCTGTTTCACTGCCTGGCCCCTTCCCCCTCTCTTCCTCCTTCCTAACAGTTGGGGTTCCTGGAGCTCCGTCCTCACCCCACTTCTCTTTTATCTCTTGTCTACTTCCCCTGCCCTCCCTTCCAGCTGATGGTTTCTGTTCTCAGCTCTATGACGCGTTCTCAGCTCTATGACGCCAACTCCCCACATCTCCCTCTTGACTTCCCAGCTCGTGTGACCACTTCCCATTGGACTTCCGGCCCGTCTGCCAAACCACACACACCCTGAACTCACTGTGGGCCGCCCAGCCTCCCTAGGCCCACGTCTGGCCACGTCCCCATCCTCTCCCTGGTGCGGTGCTGAGGCCGCGCCAGGCTGATCCTCGGTCGCACTCTGTTCTGTGACATGTTTCGTCCCCACGCCTCCTTGCTTTGCTCCCGCCCTATTACCCTCTGCCTTCATTGTAGTAATCTCATCTCCTGCCCCCAAACAGCCCAGGGTCAGATGGATTTTCCCCAGAGCGCAGCCCTGCTTCTGTAACTCTCTTTAATCAAGAAGCTCTGCTGGCTCCCCAAGCCCCCTGTGTGATGCGACACTGTCAGGGTCCCTTTCCTGTTCAGGCCTGAGCGTACACTGCGCCCCACCACCCCACAGGCCCCTGCTGCGTCATGTCTTCAAGTGCACAGGCC